GGAGTTTCTTAGAAATAAAATTATGAACAGAGGCTTACATGAAGTGGTAGCACCCCTGCCTTGACACATTTAGGCAAGCCCAGTGACAACCATAGAATATGTATAGTGAATTGTTTTTAAACTAGCAATGTTGATGATCATGTATCTAAGCTGTACACAAATTTCTTGTTTTATTTCTTTATGTGATGATTTTATGTATTAATTTTACCACTTCTCTAAAGATTGCCTTGTTGATTCTTTTAATTAGAATGAGACAATTTAATACATTGTCCTCTCCTTTGTCTCTCAAGAATCTCTATAAATTCACCTTTTATGTTTTTTGATCGGTCATGGGGCTTGAACTCTTGGCCTGGGCGCTCTCCCACAGCTTTTCAGCTCAAGGTAAGCACTTTACCACTTGAGCCACAGCACAACTTCTGGTTTTCTGAGTAAGCCACCAACTCCCAGCACCTCTAATTTTTTAAATAGTAAAAAGTAAATTTTACTGATCTCGTTCCTCTAGTTTCTGTGATCTTTCTAAGCTTTTCTCCTTTACATAGTTGGCCTCCTGCCCCTGTGCCATCCCCTCTGCTTACAGTCCTCAATGTCTCCAACTCTGACCGTGTATCCTACTCTCAGTTCTCTATTAAATTCCCTAGTGGATTGAATCTTCCCTTATATTGAATTTTGAAGTAATATGGGCCAAAAGATGTAGGTTAAGTTGGAAAGTCCCAAACATCTCGTAAGTAGTCAAGAGAGGGAGTTGCAACATGGGAAACACCTTGGGGAAAACTTAAGATGGAGATATCATTGAAGAGAAAACCTACTGAAGCAATGGAGCGCAGGTAAACAGAAGGTAAATGGGACCTAGTAAGAAGTTATTTGAGTAATTCATAGAATCAGGAAACTAATTTTTTTTTTTAAATAGTGCCATTGGACATGTCTAGAAAGTAGAAGCTTTGAACTAGAAGTTTAAGAAACTTACAGCAATAACATATAGGCACAATGTCAGGCTCAGTTAGATATGTAGAGAGTAGAAGGGTTAATCTGAGAAATACTTAAGAAGAGATTTTGTTACAGCTTGGTAAGGGGAGAAGAGTGAGCAGGTTCCAGATGATTCTTAGATTTCATACAAGGTGTTAGCACTTTTCATAAGCTGATTGAGTCAAACAAAGGCTTTTTTATATAAAATGTTCTATTTTTTAAATGTGTATAAAATGCCCAGCAGTGCCCTCTTAAGCAAAACCTGTGCTTAACTCTGTTGCCAATAAGGAGGGCCTTTTTTTATGAGATGGAATGGATGCCTAATATAGTATATAGTATAACAGAAGGAAGTATAAATTGACATTTTCTTTTTTCCTTTCTTCCTTTTTATGGTGCTGGGTATCAAACCAGAGCCTTGAATAATATACTAGGCAAGTTTTCTACCACTGAGTTACATCCTTAGCTCCAAAAAGACATTTGTAAGAAAGGCTTCAGAGGGGGTGGGGGGAGGGAGAGGGGCAAGACAAAGTGGTTTTTGTTTTTTTGAAAGTAACAGTAGCTGGGTGCCGGTGGCTCACGCCTGTAATCCTAGCTACTCAGGATGCTGAGATCTAAGGATTGCCAGCTCAGCTTGGGCAAGAAAGTTCGTGAAACTCTTATCTCCAGTAAACTACCAGAAAACTGGAAATGGCGCTGTAGCTAAAGTGGTAGAGCGCTAGCCTTGAGCTGAAGAGCTGAGGGACAGTGCTCAGGCCCAGAGTTCAAGCCCCACGACCAACAAAAAAGAAAAGAAAAGAAAATATGACATGAAGGGCAGAAATGCTATATGGAAGAATAATGTACATTACTTCATTAAGCTATTAACGTATTAGCTTTTGCTAATGTGGGATAAAGTGGAGATGTGTTTTAAACAATTTTTAATGTAACTAGCATGTACTTGTACACTCTCCTTTAAAAGTGAATAGTTTAAGCTGGGCACCTGGCTCATGCCTGTAATCCTAGCTACTCAGGAAGCTGAGATCTGAGGATCATGGTTCAAAGCCAGACCAGGCAGGAAACTCCATGAGACTCTTTATCTCCAATAAACCACTCAGAAAACCAGAAGTGGCACTGTGGCTCAAGTAGTAGAGTGCTTGCCTTGAGCTGAAGAGCTGAGGGACAGCACCCAGCCCCAGAGTTCAAGCCCTACATACGTACATCTTTATGTTTGTGTGTGTATATATGTATATATATGAGAATTTTTGACAGTGTCATCAGATAGTTATTGTGTGCTGCTTTAATATTAACTATACAATGCTGATTACTGAATACCTAATAATAGAGATAAAGTCATATATAAATGTACTTCCTGATTCTATAAGAAAGTAGTTAAGAGTTTTTATATTATTTTGAATTTTATTTTAACTTATATTTTTTAGTTGGTAAAATTGAGAAATATTTAGTAAAAGGATCATTCTTAATAAAATACTCATTTGTTGGTTTGGGGTTTGTTTTTGTTTGTTTTGGTTGGTTGGTTGGTTGGTTGTGGGGATTGAACTCTGGGCCTGGGTACTGTCCCTGACCTCTTCAGCTCAAGGCTAGCATTCTACCACTTGAGCCACAGTGCCATTTCCAGTTTTCTGAGTGGTTAATTGGAGGTAAGAATCCCATGGACTTTATTGCCTGGGCTGGCTTTGAACTGCAATTCTCAGATCTCATCCTCCAGAGTAGGATTACAGGTGTGAGCCATTGGCCTGTTGATAATATTTGAGTAATTTATATCAATCCTAGTTCCAGACCCAAACTCAGTTTGGGTGAAGAGGATGAGAAATAAGCAAACCTATCACATAAAGGGATGATACATGTTATGAAAAACTGTAACAAGGTAAGGGGAAACTGTGTGATGGGTGAAAGTTCTGTGTGTAAATTGTCAGGGAATGCTGTTCTGAGGGAAGTAGAAATGTGAGTGCAGAAGGAAATCTTGCTAACATTATTTCAGGCAAAGGAGCAGTAAATGGAAGGCTGTGCGTCAGAATCTAGCTAAGTAAGAACCAGTTTGACATGCTGGAGGGAAAGCAAAAAGCTGGTTTGACGAGCAGTGAAAATAAGTAGAGACTAATAGGAGATGATGCAGAGGAGGTAGGGCCAGAGTATGTTGCACCAAAATGAAATGCCCATGCATTTTATGTTGAATTGTGAAGGGAGGCTATGGACCAACTTTGGTCACAATTGTGACCTGACCTGATGTACTTTTTACAAGTTTATTCCAGCCATTAAGTAGAAGACTGGCCATTGGAAAAGGCTTATTTTGGGCAGCTTTTCAATGACTTAGGCCTATGGTTTCCAGTGTTCAAGTAACAAAACTGTTCAAATTATATTTATTTGTATTTTCTCTTTTTCTGTATGTGTGCCAGTATTAGAGCTTGAACTCAAAGCATCATTCTCTCACTTGACTTTATCCCCTCCAAGTTGGAGCTCTACTATTTGAGCCACAGCTCCACTTCTGGGATAAGAATCTCATGGACTTTTCTGCATGGGCTGGCTTCAAACTTTGATCTGCAGGTCTCAGCCTCCTGAGTAGCTAGGATTATAGGTGTGAACCACCAGTGCTTGGCATGTATTTCCTTAAAAAAAAACTTTACTAATACCTAATATATAGATTGGCACTGTAGCCTCCATTGTACTTGCAATTGGTCGTATAACATTTGACAGTTTGACCTGAGCAACTGGAAGAATGCTGGTTCCCTGGGCTGGGATGAGAAAACTAAGGGAAGAGTAAGGTTTGTTTTGAGATGAGGATGAAGAATGAGGAGCTCAATTTGGGGCAGTTTATTTGCGATGCCTCCTGGATATTTAACATGATTCGTTGAATGAATGGTTTACATATGCCTCTAGAGCCCCAAGGTAAGAAACAGATTTCAAAGATCTAAATATAGGGATCTAGCATAGGGGCAGTATAGCAGATCTAAAATTAAAACTGCGCAAATGCAAATTTCACTTCTGAGGGCAAATTACTTTCTTCATTTACCTCATCTGTTGAAGGGAAATAATGTCTACCTCACAAGGCTGCTGAAAGGATTAAATGAGTTACTACAAGCAAAGTGCTTAGAATAGCCTGGATGTTAACTTATTACCAGTTCATGAATGAAGTAGTAGAGTGCTAGCCTTGAGCAAAAAATCTCAAGGACAGCGTCCAGGTCTAGAGTTCAGGTCTCAGGACTGGCACAAAAATTAAAAAAAAATGGAAAGAAAGAAAAGAATCTAGAAGGAACAATTCATCTGTTAATGAAGTTACAGAATATTATTGGCGATTCAGCTAGATGGGGAGATTTGGTAGTGGGAAAATGAGATCTTTTTCTCTAAATACTTTTTAAAAGGAAGTTTGATGGGATCATCTATGAGATATAGAGGGCAGGTTGTAATGTTGGAGAGACAGAAGGTAGTGTTTAGAAGTATTTTTGAAGGTGGAAGAATGAATTGACTAAGGAAGATCTAGCAGGCAAATTGTCAAGGAGTCCTGAAGGCCTATATGACATTTGTGACCATTAAAGAGATTCCAGTTGACTAAAAAGGGAAGCATAGTTTTTATAGGATATAAAATGGCAGAGACAGTGCTTCTTCTGCTTTGGTTTTGAACCTCTGTAGTCTCATCATTGAGAATATTGCTTTTGAGACATGCCAGGCAGCCACAGTAGAATTACTAAAAATGAATAGGCAATAAGCCAAAAAATAATTATTGCATTTTTGTCATATACAATATGTATATCATGTTTTAGGATGAGTTGTTCAAAGTATTTATGTTACTATCTCTTTAAATGTACCTATTTTACACAAATGATATCAAGCAGACTATACTTCATTATTGAGTTTAAGCAAGGGAAGCAACATGCTCTAATAGAGAAGCTTATCATCTCCCAGATAGAAACAGAGACACAAAATCTTTACCAAAAATTTCCTTATGACCTATGGTTCCTGTTAATATACTTTTGTCACTCTTGTTTTTTTACCTTTTTATTTGATTACAGAGAAATTCAAAATTTGCTTTTGTGTTCTTTCAGGTGCTGGAGAGTCTGGTAAAAGTACCATTGTGAAACAAATGAAGTAAGTTCAAACATGGCCTTTTATAAGACTAGATTTCCTCCAAATGTTTAAAGAGTCCATCATTTGTTTTCATGTTAGGTCTTCAGTATTGACTTGTGGTTTTCTTGTCTTTAAAGAATCATTCATGAGGATGGCTATTCAGAGGAAGAATGTAAACAATATAAAGTAGTTGTCTACAGCAATACGATTCAGTCCATCATTGCAATTATAAGAGCCATGGGACGGTTAAAGATTGATTTCGGGGAAGCTGCCAGAGCAGTAAGTATTTCTTATTTCCGCTTCACTTGCTTTTATTCAATAGATGCAGTTAAGCCAAATTTGTCATGTTTTAGGGAAACAAATTTTAACAACAAAATAAGATGTTGCAAAGAGAGTACTGCATGCTCTTTTGAGACGTATTAACAGTTTGCTTTAGAAGATACTGGATTACCACAAAATGAGTCAAGGAAAATGTTAGGTCTGCCCAGGAGAAAAGCCCATATAGCCATACCACCATGAATGCGCCCAATCTCACCTGATCTGAGAAGCTAAGTAGGGTCAGGTTTGGTTAGTACTTAGATGGGAGACCACCTGGGAAAGAGACTATTCTCCAGAGCAGACCTAACAGAAATTGGATTGTGGTGATGGATATACATTAGGTTTCTGTGATAATAGCTCTATTCAATTTAAAATTTTTTTTAATTGGGGCTTGAATTTGGGGTAGGGCCTTGAGCTTGCTAGATAAGTGCTCTACCACTTAAGTCATATTTCTAGTCCTTTTTGCTTTTAGGTTTTAGCTTTTTTAGTTAAGAGTTTCACACTTAGCCGGGCGCTGGTGGCTCACGCCTGTAATCCTAGCTACTCAGGAGGCTGAGATCTGAGGATCGCGGTTCAAAGCCAACCCGGGCAGGAAAGACCGTGAGACTCCTATCTCCAATAAACCACCAGAAAACCTGAAGTGGCGCTGTAGCTCAAGTGGTAGAGCACTCGCCTTGAGCTAAAGAGCTGAGGGAAAGCGCCCAGGCCCAGAGTTCAAGCCCCACGACCGACAAAAAAAAAAAAAAAAAAAAGAGTTTCACACTTTGCCTTGGATCATCTTTGCATTGTGATCCTTGTTAAAGTCACTTAGTTTTCCAGAATCCACCTAGCGTAAGTATTAAGTGGTAAGGGAATATTTACAGTGTCAAGACAGCATAAAATAGGTGGTAATGGCTCCCTCTATTTTGAGGTTTCTAAAATTTAAATATATTTTAGGAAAGTGATACTGAGGTTATTTGAATACCTGCATGTGCTGGACTTGAATTCTAGGCCATTAGCGGTCACTGAGTTAACAGCTGGCACTTAATACCTAATAAGCCACACGTCCAGTTCTGACTTTTTGCTGGTTAATTGGAAATAAGAGTATCATAGATTTTTCTGCCCAGGCTGGCTTTGAACCTGAGTCTTCAGAATAGCTAGATTAGAGGTGTGAACCACTGTGGGTTGTTTTTTTTTTTGTTTTTTTTTTTGGGGGTAAGGTTTTTTTATCTTTTTAGTTTGTAATTCTAGAAATTGAACTTAAAGCCTTGTTGTATAAGTTAGGCAATTACTCTGAGTTACACTGCCAATGTGTTTTGTTTAAAATTTTAATCTTTGAGGCCTAGGGATGTAGGTCAGTCATAGAGGCTTGGCCTAGAGTGTGTAAAACCCTAAATTTAATTTCTAACACTAAAAAGGGGGATGGGGAGATACAGATAAAGATAAATATTTGGAAGGATATCTAAGTCTTTGTCCATTTGTCTTCTGTAATCCCAGTCTGTTATTTATTAAAAAATTTTGGTCAATAATCTTAAGTAATTTAGATGGAGATTTGCCAGAGATCTTCCTGAGGATGGTGTGACTTTGAGAAATGGAGTAAAATCATTTCTCAGCTCAGTTCTGGATTTAGAACTTCAGTGGAGTGACAAGGGGGAAAGACCTCCTTACCAGAGGCCTCTGGACATGCCACAAGCCAGTGCCAATGGTTTACACTTGTAATCTTAGCAACTCAGGAGGCTGATATCTGAAGAAGGTAGTTTGAAGCCAGCCCACGCAGAAAAGTCTTGAGAGACTCTTACCTCCAGTTTGTAACCAAGTGATGCTATAAAAGTGATATAGCATCAGTCTTGAGTGAAAAAAGCCAAGTGAGAGTGCAGGACCCTGAATTCAAGCCCTATTATCAGCACTAAATAGGACCATGGATATGAATAACAAGACTAGCAGGTGGTTAAAGAAATAGAGACTCACCTGTCTGTCTGTCTTTCTCAACCGCTTTCTTCAGGATGATGCACGGCAGTTATTTGTTTTAGCTGGCAGTGCTGAAGAAGGAGTCATGACTGCAGAACTAGCAGGAGTGATTAAACGATTATGGAGAGATGGTGGGGTGCAAGCATGCTTCAGTAGATCCAGGGAATATCAACTCAATGATTCTGCTTCATAGTAAGTCATTTTTCTCTCTGAAACTATGATGGAAAATAACTTGGTAGCGCTAGAGAAAGTTCAGAGCTTGCTCCTTTTATGTGTAAGGGGGTAGGAGTGCTGTTTGAACTCAAGGTTCATGTTCATTAGGCCTGTGCCTTTCCATTTAAACTATGATAGCCAGTTCTTATGCTTTAGTTATTTTTTGGATAAGGTCTCATGCTTTCTGCCCCAAGCTAGCCGTGAACCATGTTCTTCCCACTTACCCTAGTCTTCATTGTAGATTGGATTAATGCAGCCTGTTTGTTGAGATGCAGTTCTTGCTAACTTACTGCTCAACTGTTCTCCAATGAGTCTTCCTATACCTGCCACCTGAGTAGTTTGAATTTTGTGCCACCATACCTGGCTTTCAGTGGTCATTCTTAAGGAAATGTTTAAATATTAGAAACTCTGAGACATCTGTAGAAATCCTATATTGTCTCCATTTAGGATTATAGAATCTGGTCACTTTATATAATTTGGAGGGAAAAAAGTTGGCTCTTGGAATGTAAATGTAGATTTTACACCACAAAATTAGGTGGATAATATGTATATAATAGGCAAGGAAAGATATCTAGTTTTCCTAGATGTCTTTTAACTAAGTTTCCTCTGCAAAAGGTTGAGCACTGAAAACCAGCTAAAGGGAAAATTAGAATTGTGACATCCCTTTTATGTAGCCAACTATCTGTGCATGAGCTACTCTGTGGATTTCTCACTTAAACTTTTGCATAGATTACCAATTTGCGTAGAAAGTGAATACTAAGTCACAAAACAATGATGCATCTTTTTGTCAAGGAAATTCTCTTGAATGTTAGTAGAGAATTGGTAATTCATAAGTCTGTTAAGCAGTTACCTGCGATCCCATTTTTACCCATATATATATATTTTTTTTAATTTTTTGATCAGTCGTGGGGCTTGAACTCTGGGCTTGGGCGCTATCCCTCAGCTCTTCAGCTCAAGGTGAGCACTCTAGCACTTGAGCCACAGCACCACTTCCGGTTTTCTAGTGGTTTATTGGAGGTAAGAGTCTCATGGACTTTCCTGCCAGGGTTGGCTTTGAACCGTGATCCTCAGATCTCAGCCTCCTGAGTAGCTAGGGTTACAGCCATGAGCCACAGGTACCCAGCTTTTCATAAGTGTTTTTCAGAACTAGGTAATCACTTGTTATTTGTGTCTCTCTCTGTTCTAGATAAAAGCACTTTTAATCATGAAAGTATTTTGTTTATTTTTTTTTCTTTTTATGTTGGTACTGGGGCTTGAACTCAGGGCCAGAACAGGTCCCCTTAACTTTTTGCTCAAGATTGGCACTCCTATCACTTGAACCATAGCTCCACTTCTGGCTTTTTATTATTTATGTATATGATTAATTAGAGTTTCATGGACTTTTCTGCCCAGGTTGGCTTTGAACTACCATCCTTAGAGCTCAGTCTTCTGATAATGTTACACTATCCTACTCTCCCCATCTTCATTCTGTCTGAAATTGATAAAAGAAAGAATTAAAAATTTGGAGAGCTTACTGATCTTTCCATGGAAATAACTTTATGAGCAAATGTTTTAAAACAACGTTTTTCAGAATATTTTTCAGAATGTTTTTTGTCAGTTGTGGGCTTGAACTCAGGGCATGGGCACTGTCCCTAATCTTTTTTGCTCAAGGCTAGCACGCTACCACATCTGGTTTTCTGGTGGCTAATGGGAGATAGAAGTCTGAGACTCTCCTGCCCAGGATGGCTTCCAACCAGCTAGGGTTTATAGGCATGAGCCACCAGCACCAAGCCTACAAAATGTTTTAAAACAAGTATTTTCCAAACATTTCATGATTCTTGCTCACCTTAGTTGTTATATATTGATAGTTTATATAATTCTTCCAGTGGTCATCAAAGGTACATCTTAATTACTATTATTTCTTTATACATTGAGTAAGCTCTGAATCCTGAAGTCCATGTGACTTATAGTGTTGTTTCTGACTCCTTCCCCATAATTGTTCATCTCAGCTTGACTTCTTTTGTTTTTTTCTTTCTTTTCTTTCTTTCTTTCTTTTTTGTTTGTTTGTTTGCCAGTCATGGGGCTTGAACTCTGGGCCTCGGCACTGTCCTTGAACTCTTTTGCTCAAGGCTAGCGCTCTGCCACTTGAGCCACAGCACCACTGTAACCTTTTCTGTTTCTGTGGTACTGAGGAATTGAACCTAGGGCTTCATGCATACTAGGCAAACACTACTACTAAGCCACATTCTCAGCCTTAGCTTGACTTCTTAACATTAATGATGGTATTTGGTTTGATTCACTTAAATGAATGCCACTTGCACTTCAGGATTTTCTGCAGCCTAAAAATAGTGAAGAACTTAGGGTTTTTTGTTTGTGTTTGTATATTGTTAATTTTTTTTTTAAGCCCGGGTCCAACTGTATTTAACCTAGACTGGCCTTGATCTCAGCACCCTGTTCTTTGTCTCCTAACTGCTGGGATTAAGAATGTAGCTCTAAAGCAATCATCTTTTTTTTTTTTTTTTTGTCCATCGTGGGGCCTGAACTCTGGGCCTGGGCACTGTCCCTCAGCTCTTCAGCTCAAGGCTAGCACCCTAACACTTGAACTACAGCGCCACTTCCAGCTTTTTCTGCTTATGTCGTGCTGAGGAATCGAACCCAGGGCCTCATGCATGCAAGGCAAGCGCTCTACCACTGAGCCACCTTCCCAGCCCCTAAAGCAATCATCTTTTATAGTGTTCTCCTCTCCGTCCTCCCCTCCTCCCCCCTGCCCCCCAAACTGAGGACTGAACTCAGGGCCTTGTATTTGCCAGGTTAAGTGCTCTTCCACTGATCTAAATCCCCAATTCTAAAGCAATCTTTTAATTACTCTGCTGAATAAATTTTTTGGTTTAGGTAAAAAGACAAAAAAAAAAAATAGGACTGGGGATATAGTTCAATGATAGAGCACTTGCTTAGCTTGCTGAATGCCCTGGCTTTGAACTCTGGCACTGCTAAAGGAAGAAAACTTTAAAAACTTCCAATCCGGGCTTAGGCACTGTCCCTCAGTTCTTCAGCTCAAGGCTAGCACCCTACCACTTAACCACAGTGCCACTTCCTGCTTTTTCTGCTTATGTGGTGCTGAGGAATCAACCCCAGGTCCTTATGCATGCAAGGCAAGGACTCTACTACTGAGCCACCTTCCCAACCCTCCAATCTTCCTTGAATGAAGATAAGAAGTATCCTTCCTTCTTTTCTTTCTTCCCTTCCTTTCCTCCTTTCCTTCCTCCCTTTCTTTTCTTCTCTTTTCATTTTTTTTCTTTGTATTGGTCCTGGGGCTTGAATTTAGGGCTTATTGCCATCCCTGAGCTTTTGTGCTCTGCCGCTTGAGCCATAGACCCATTTCCAGCTTTTTTGCTGGTTAATTGGAGACAAGAGTCTTAGGGACTTTCCTGCCCAGGCTGACTTCGAACTTCAGTCTTAGTAGCTAGAATTACAGGTGTGAGCCACCGGCACCCTACTGCTGCTTCCCCCTCCCCCTCCCCCTCCCCCTCCCCCTCCCCCCCCTCCTCCTCCCCCTCCTCCTCCTCCCCCTCCCCCTCCTCCCCCTCCCTCCCTCCTCCTCCTCCTCCTCCTCCCCCCCTCCCGTTCCCTCTCCCCCTCCTCCCCCCCCCCCAGTGTCAGGATAGGCATGTTCCACAATGTCCTTTTAAGAAATAGTGAATACGGTTCTTTTCTCCATTTTAATAATTCAGACGCCATATTCTAATGCTTTATCAAAGGATTAAATACGCCAGTCACATGTTGAGTGAGCTTAAATGCCTGAATATTTGGCTTGTTTTTTCTCCTATATAGAATACAGTTGATTTCATATTAAATTATAGGAATTTTTCTTTGGTGTGTGTGCTGGTCCTTGTCCTGGGGTTTGAACTCAGAGTCTGAGTGTTGTCCCTGAGCTTTTGTACTCAAGGCTATAGCACTCTACACTTGAGCTACAGCTGCACTTCTGGCTTTTGGTAGTTAATTGGAGATAAGAGTCTTAGGAGCTTACCTGCTCAGGCTGGCTTCTAATTGCAATCCTCAGATCTCAACTTCCTGAGTAACTAGGATTATACTGGTACCTGTTTTTTTCTTTTTTTATGTTGTCATGCTGTTTGTGAGATTATAGGTTTGGGGGCAGTACTGGGTCGCATTCCTGCTAGGCTGACTCCTTACCACTTGAACCAGTCCTCCAGCCCTCTTTCTCTGTCTCTTTCTGTCTGTCTGTCTGTCTCTCTCTGTCTCTCTCTCTGCTGGTTCTCTTAGTAGGTCCCAAGCTTAGCTTGAGCTGGCCCATCTAGTATAGAGCTGCTTTAGATTTCAGCCTTTCGAGGAGCTGGCCATTGCAGGTATGAGCCATCAGCATCTGGCTCTACCATGTTTTGTTTTGTTTTTTAGTTTTAGATTTGTCTTTAAGGAGTAATTCTGTAGAATTAAACCACTTTTGTTAGTATATATAAAGCCTACTTTAATTGCTGTAGTAGATTCACTTTTTTTCTCATGATATTCCATGATACTGAAGATACTGGTTTTGTTTTGCCACTTTAGTGACAGGTTCACAGTCTACTTTTGGCAGGGAACTAGTTTAATCTCTTGACTTGCTGTGCACGTGATTGGCTTCATCAGGTAAAAACAAATGTATATTTTATTTAGTTACCTAAATGATTTGGATAGAATATCCCAAACCAACTACATTCCAACTCAGCAAGATGTGCTTCGGACAAGAGTGAAGACCACAGGTATTGTGGAAACCCATTTCACCTTCAAAGAACTGTATTTCAAGTAAGTTACTAGCCTTTTTGCTGGATGTACCTAACACAAGTATCTTTTCCTTTAGTTAGCATCTCTTAAAGTGAAAATTCTCTAGGCAGTATTCTTTGGTTTAGAAACTTGTTATCATATTCATGAGCAATTATCTGAATATCTTAACTTAGAGCCCAGGCTTTTTATTCTTTTAATAGCATTGAATATTTTTGTTCATTTGGAGGGAATTAAATTCAAAATGAAGTGATAGCTTACTTATCGTTAGAATTAACAATATGATTATCAATTCGTACTATTTTAATTTTGTTCTTTTCACCTGCTTTTTGTTAGATGCCAAAAAAGGTATTAAATGTTTAGAAGGATAGCAACAGAACAAAATTTGTTCTGCCTTTTTTTTTTTTTTATTAATAAGGGTTTGAACTCAGGACCTCAAGCTTATTAGGAACAGTCTGTACCTTGAGCTACCTCCAAAGCTCATTATTGCTTTACTTATTTTTCTGATAGAGTCTCACATTTTTGCCTAGGGCCAGTGATGCTCTTACCAATGTCTCATGCATAGCTGAGATACAGGTGTGTGCCACCACAATCAGCTTACTTTTTGAGATGGGAGTCTCAATAATCTGTTTTCCCTGCCTAGCTTCAGGCCCTCACGTCAATCTCTGCCTCCTAAATTCCTGGGATTACAAGTATGAGCTACCATGTCCAGCCTGCTCTACCATTTTGATATTAAATTAGATTTTTCATACTGGTAATACTCTTCCCTTCCCACCCGTCAGTTGTGGGGCTTGAACTCTGGGCCTGGGCACTGTCCCTGGGCCCTTTTGCTTAAATACCACTTGAGCCACAGTGCCACTTCTGGCTTTTTCTGTGTATGTGGTACTGAGGAATTGAACCCGGGGCTTTGTGCATGCTCATAAGCACTCTACCACTGAACAACATTCCTAGCCCCAGTAATAACTCTTTTCATTTTTGTTTTCATTTCCCTTTAAGTTTAATGGGACACAGCTAGTATTGGCATGGGTTTTGGATTAACTAGTGCAAATATTTGCCCTGCTAAGTACTTAGTATAGTTCAGAAATGGAAAATGAACTTCAGGAATAGAGATATTTTAGAGTGGTCAAGTAACATGTCAACAGTGATTGTTTTAGACAAAAAAAAAAATCTAGCACTCTAAAAGAATTTTCTTATACCTCCAGTAATTCTAAATCAAGTTCTTGCTTTTCTGTGTTACTAGTCTTTTGTAAATACTAAAACTGTCTCTTTGGTTCTGATCTTCTGCTTTTATGACCTTTGAGTAAAATTCCTGCTTTGATATGATTACTTTTTAGTTACTTCATTATGTTTATGTGCAGAATGTGAAACTGAGCATTATTGCCACCAAAAGCAGCTAGGACATCTCAGATCCTCCCAATTTCTTTCTTTACTAAAAGCACCTGACCTACCCCAGTATTTGTGAAATCTACATGGGGTTTATATATTATTACTAAGTGCCTGTATAAGTATTAAAATCTTAATATACCCAGCCAGTTTTGAAACATGGTACAGAATAAGAGCAGATCAGTTGAACATACATTTTTTAATTAATTATTTATTTATTTATTTTTGTGCCAGTCCTAGGGCTTGATCTCAGGGCCTGGAAGCTAACCCTGAGCTCAAGACCAGAGCCATAGCTCTACTAGAGCCATAGTTCTACTTCTGTTCTGGCTTTTTGCAGGTTAATCTGAGATAAGAATCACATGGAGGGCTGGGAAGGTGGCTCAGTGGTAGAGCGCTTGCCTTGTATGCCTGAGGCCCTGAGTTCGATTCCTCAGCACCACATAAGCAAAAAGAAAAAAGCCGGAACTGGCACTGTGGCTCAAGTGGTAGAATGCTAGCCTTGAGCTGAAGAGCTGAGGGACAGCGGCCCAAGCCCAGAGTTCAGGCCCCACGACCGGACCCAAAAAAAAAAAATCACATGGAATTTCCTGCATGGTCTGGCTTTGAACTGTAATCCCAGATCTTAGCCTCCTGAATAAGCTAGGATTGCAGGTGCCCAGCTCAGTTGAATACTTTTATAATAAATTGGCCTCTTTATATTTAGTAAGACTAGAAAAGCTTCATGGATTATCCTGTGGAATTGAGATAGTTCATTCTTTAGACTTGAGCTTTTTATAAAATGAGTAACTTATTTATAATAAAATATTATTAACATTGTTTAGTGTGAGAAGTTTTTTTGTTGTTGATATTATCAAGGCAAAACATTAGTTAGGTAAATCCTAATCTTTTATGCCAGAACCAATGGTCAGATCAAAATATTTAAATGCCAACCCACTTTATTATCAGCATGGAGATATCTTGTATGAAGTACTATCACTTCTTCCTTTTCCTCTTCTCTCTAGGCAAAACCACTATCCATTTATTCAAACATTTATTGAGCATCTACCATATGCAAGGCATTGTGTAATTGCTTACTTGCCTCTCAGTTATGAGGTAATGTTTATAAAATGTTGATCTGATAGTATATGATACTGTAAATGTTAATATGTACTAAAAATTGGCCTTGGAACTTTGCAGTATTCTACCAGTTTTATGCTTTTAGAAGGAAATGGGAGTATGAACTAGAATTGTTGGTGTACTATTGTGTACCTTGAAAGACTAAACTGGTAAAACAAATGTGGTTAGCTTCCAGTAACTTATAAATATGACCCTGAATTAGGACCACTCTGTGATTGTTGTTCAGGCTATATATTACTGAACTGTACAAAATCAACCCAGAAGAAAGATTTGGGTTATAAAGAGATGAGTGTCCATTTCAAAGATACATTAAGAAATTACCTATGATATCTTACTTCTCTCAATCTTTGGGAGAAAAAGTTCCTGGAATTTAGTGCCTTGGTTACTATCTTATAAACTGAAATCCAGAATAGTGGACTTTAACCTTTATAACCACCTTATTATCAAATAGAGATCTTAAGAGTAGCCATTTGACTGCATCCTCATCAGACCCAGTTTTATGAGACAGCAGTTCAGGTGTTCCATCGTGTCAGGAGGTAGCTGAGGACACTGTTGACACAGTTGATCCTTTGCCTTTATGAAAACTCATCTAGAGTGCAGTATAAAGTAGATGAGCAACTGAAGCTTTCTTATTATTAAGTTCAAGTAAAACATGAAGTTGGGAAATACTGGGTAAGGAATTTCAGTTTTTTGTTTGTTTGGTTTTTGTTTTTTTGCCAGTCCTGGAGCTTGAACTCAGGGCCTGGGCGCAGTTCTTGAGCTTCTTCTGCTCAAGGCTAGCACTTTACCACTTGAGCCACATTGCTGCTTTCAGCTTTTTCTGAGGAGTTTATTGGAAATAAGTCTCACAAACTTCCTACCCAAGCTAGCTTCAAACCATGATCCTCAGATTTCAGCCTCCTGAGTAGGGTTACAGGCATGAGCCACCAACATCCATCAAGAATTTTGTTTTTAAGATACTGAGTTCTTAAGAGTCCTACTATAAAATAATCTGGTTGTTTTTTTTTTTAATTTAGAAGTTGTGAATTGAGAGGCATAGTGGGGCTGTGGCTAAGAATGTGCGCATTGGAGTTAAGAGTGCATAGGCCCAGGTCCCTTGACCCCATTTCATAGTAGTATGCCTCTGGGCAACTTACCTGCACTTTAGTATCTTCATTTATGTAATGGGACTAATCATAGTACTACGTATAGAAGGGTTGTGAAGATAAAATGAGTTAATTATGTCTAAGGAAGTGTCTGGCACCATGGTAAACACTCAATAAATATTGGTTGTTGTAATGATTGTATACTTGTACTTACTCAGCTCTTCATTTCTCCCTTTTTTCCCCCCCTTTCTTTAATCTACTTCAGTGCTTATTCTGTTGACATTTGACACAATTGATTAAAAGTTTTGATAGGGAGGAGACCTATCTAAAATGAGAATTTAGATCATTATAATTTTATCAGATAGTTATGTGACTATATTTGATGTGCACCTTTTTTATCTTTTCTAAATGAGCTTTTGAATATGTAGAAATGGGAAGTTTCTTAGTCGTTAGGGAAAGGTATAAATGTAACTTCCCTGAATTTGTGCTTGATTTCTTTACACAGGATGTTTGATGTAGGTGGCCAAAGATCAGAACGAAAAAAATGGATTCACTGTTTTGAAGGAGTAACAGCTATTATCTTCTGTGTAGCTCTCAGTGACTATGACCTTGTTCTGGCTGAGGATGAAGAAATGGTATGTTGCCTGTTACAACCAGAAAATGGCAAATAACTCCTAGGAAGATGGGGTACAAGCATTTTCTCGTTGAGCCAAAACTTAGTAATCTTAGTGTTTCTCCCTGTCTGTGGGATTAGATCTCCAGAATTGATTGTCCCTGCCTTATTCTTGAAGACTTGTGGCAGCCATACTGCATCAGGATTAAGTCCTTTTGTCAGTTAACCCTTTCTCCTACCTCTCAACACCACCAGAATTAAAAAAGTTGCCCTGTTAGTGCCTAATTGATTGCTGTGAATGTCTTCACTGTTTTAAAATCTGTTATGTTTCTACTTTAATCTGTTTTTATTTTTTCTAGTGACTCGTCATCATCCTTTGTTTCTTTTTCAGAACCGAATGCATGAAAGCATGAAACTGTTTGACAGCATTTGTAACAACAAATGGTTTACAGATACTTCAATCATTCTCTTCCTAAACAAGAAAGACCTCTTTGAGGAAAAAATTAAAAGGAGTCCGTTAACAATCTGTTATCCAGAATATACAGGTAAGGGGTCATGGAAGATTTTATTGGTACATATATTAAGCTAACCCTTCGGAGATGTTCATCCACAAGTGCTTTTTGTTTTGATGATTCATATATATCTTTATGTAGAGTGTTCGATGAAAGTAGTTCCATGTTAAGCCTATAATTAAGATCCATTAAGGTTATAGTGCTATTTCAGGCATTTTTACGTGTTTATTTTAAATTCCTATCATTTTTGAGGATAAGGCTAAAAATTAAAAATTTGACGTATGTTCAAGAAAACACAAAGATAAATGCAATTACTGTGTTCAACAAATTGACATCTAATTACAGAGAGAAGCACACTCAGATAATTTGTGTGTGTGCCAGTCCTAGGGCTTGAACTCAGGGCATGGATGCTGCCCTGAGCTTTTTTGCTCAAGGCTAGCACTCTACAACGTAAGCCACAGCTCCAGTTCTGGCTTTTTTGGTAATTAATTGGAGATAAGAGTCTTATGGGGCTTTCCTATCTGGAATGGCTTTCAACAGGATTCTTAGATCTCAGCCTCATAAATAGCTAGGATAATAGGCATGAGCCACAGTACCATTCGTTAACAGTAGAGCTAAAGAAATAGTTAATGCTGATGGAGTCAGTGTAGTCTTTTTCCAGAGGAAATAGCAATTGAGAGAGCTATTAAAAGATGGATAAAAGCATTGGGCAAAATGAAAGCATTTTTTTTGGGGGTGGGGGGTCCGGTCGTGGGGCCCGAACTTTGGGCCTGGGCGCTGTCCCTCAGCTCTTCAGCTTAAGGCTGGCACTCTACCACTTGAGCCATAGCGCCACTTCTGGCTTTTTTTGTTTTTGCTTATGTGGTGCTGAGGAATCAAACCCAGGGCCTCAGGCATGCAAGGCAAGTGCTCTACCACTGAGCCACCTTCCCAGCCCCGAAAGCATTTTAGATCAGAGAAAAGGCATTGATCATTACCAGAGGAGGGGGCATGAGAAAATGAAGAATGATTAGTTAATAGAAACACAGGATGTTTTTGTGGAATGTGGAAAAGTTTTGAAACTATAGATTGATGGTTGTATGACATCATGCTGTGAAGTTGTACACTTTAAATGTATATGAAGTGAATTATCTTTGATGATTTAAATAAAAAGTCTTCATAGAGCCATTGTTACTTAAATAGTAATGAAAATATCTTTAAGAACAAAGTACAGATGGTACAGGTAGACTATATATATTATATATAAATATATATAGAATATATTCTAAGAGATATATTCTAAGCCCCCGGTAGCCTCTGTTTTTTCTCAGGAAAGTTGAAAATAATCCGTTCAGAAGAGGTAATAACTGAATGAGTTTTATAGAAAGTAACCAAGTTTTTGTATAAAAGGAGAAAGATTAGTAAGACAAGTAAAAGGGTGACATTAATGTTGAAAGACCAGTTTTGAGTCTTCACATGAAGCCAAGACTTTTTGATATCATATTCATTTTGTTGTGAATTTCCACATCTGTTCTCCATTGTCTTCATTCTTAGGCTTAAGTATTCTCACAATCCTGATTTAGCAGATATCACTATCTGTTCATACCAGATAAAATTCAATTTTTGCTCACCTGCCCTCTTTAACCAACTTCTAAACCTATTTTAGGCAACAACAAAGCTGTCCTTTGTTTTCTGAATACTTTGTTAATATTTCCTTTCTTAAATTGTTGTTATTTAGTCTTCTTTATATACTTAGTTGGTATTTTTATGCTTATCACTGAAAATAGTTTTTGGTTTTTCATTGTCTTTGTTGAGTTTCCCTGGCTTTGCAGCCAGCTTCCAATGTTATTCTAAAGATTCCCTAGTTCCACAAGTTGATGAGTGATTGGGATAGCACCCAGACCAGGAATCCAAGCTCTGCGACCAGTACTAATAGCTCACGCCTATAATCCTAGCTACTCAGGAGGCTGAGATCTGAGGATCAAGGTTTGAAACTAGCCTGGACAGGAAGTCCTTGAGACTCTTATACACTACCCAGAGAAGCTGGAAGTAGAACTGTGGATCTAAGTGATAGAGCTCTAACGTTGAACAAAGCTCAGGGACAATACCTAAGCCCTAAGTTCAAGCCCCAGGATGGGGTGGGGGTAAGGGGCAGCTCTATTGAGATATAATTAACAAACCAAACAATTCACCCCTTCAAAGTATATAATTAAGTCCTCCTTTTTTGGAGTCAGTCATGGGGCTTGAACTCTGGGTCTGGGCTTTGTTCCTGAGCTCTTCAGTTCAAGGCTAGCACTCTACCACTTGAGCTACAGCACCTCTTGCGGTTTTCTGATGGTTAATTGGTGATAGGAATTTCATGGCTTTTGAAGCTTGATCCTCAGATCTCAGCCTCCTGAGTAGCGAGGATTACAGGTGTGAGCCACCTGCACCTGGCGAGTCCTTCTCCTTTTACATATATTATTTGCCTTTGGATATTTCAGTTATTGTCTAAGACTCTTAAGATAAAAACTGTGGAATGATTTTTGAAAAGAACAATGGTATCCTTACGAATTTCTTATTTCAAGATCACACCAAGGAGTACAGGCTCTCTTTGACCTCTAAACAATTGTTTACTCTAGAAATGTACCTTCCTACTTTCCTAGTCTTCTTTTTATACTTTCTCGACTTTTTCAGCTGAAACTTATTTTCCTTGGTCTTTGTGTGTGATGATTTTATTTTAGTAACAGTAGAAGTCTGCTCTCATGAAGAATCTGTGATTATAGAAAACAATTCTGCCTATCTTCTGTTGCATCACATTACCTCTCTTCGTAAACAAATAGTAGTAGCTTGACTTAGTTGAGTTCAGGCAGCTGAAGTGATAATATTCTGTGTCTTTTAGGTTCCAATACATATGAAGAGGCAGCTGCTTACATACAGTGCCAGTTTGAAGATCTGAATAGAAGAAAAGACACCAAGGAGATCTACACTCACTTTACCTGTGCCACAGACACCAAAAATGTGCAGTTTGTTTTTGATGCTGTTACAGATGTCATCATTAAAAACAACCTAAAGGAATGTGGACTTTATTAAAAAGGGTGGATGCTAGTAAAAGGTAAAACTTCAGATAACTTAGTTACAGTGCTATAATATTGTCTCCTAGCTTTGTAATTTTTTCTAATTAAAAATGTTGTTCTTTTTTAGTTACTACAGTGTGGAGTGTTGAGACCAGACATCTTTTGCTGTCTCTTGGGGCAGCTGAAAGCATGACGGGACCAGGGAATGGCAGCAGCATGCAGAATCTTAGCACTCTTTAGCACAATCTTCTGTATTAGGGAACTTTTAAAATCACATGAGATGCTCAAGTCAGACATTGGAATTGGAACAACTTTAAAGTATGATTGGATCATCAAGACATCACTTGGATTTTGTAATCACAAATGTTTAGGGCATATATGAAGTTGAGGTGCTGCATTCCAGAACTTAAATATGTAGCTTACTTTATTTTCTTTAACAAATCACTGGTATTTCATTTCTAAAGTTTTTTTTCTCATCCAGAGAAGAATAACTCTACTAAACCTTACTTCTTTGTTTGCAAAAGAATCTTTATTAAAATACAAAGAATCTTAACTATGCACATTATGTGACCAGATCATCTTGAAAATACTCCTCTTAGTAGGAACTCTTTGTTTTTAACTCTTGGTATAGTCAAGATAGAATATTTCCACAATTCTTAAAATTCCCAGTTATTAGGGCTATAAATACAGCTTTTTTGGATTAAATTTGTTACTATCCTATTCAGAGTACCATGATGGTTTCTAAACAGTATTGACACTGGAAAGTTCTGCAATAAGATTCTAGCTCTCTAAGCTTCCAGTGGAAGATTAACTTTGTTTATGCTATTTACCAAATTATTAGGTGAATGCTAATGTATGATAAAGTCAGCTTCTTGGTTACAGACACATCCAGGGCAGCTGTTGATTAGAAATGCAATTTGCTAAATTCCAAACAGAACCAGTGACTTTGCTGCTACTTATCTTTTAAATAGACCACATTGACTCTTGCTTGTTTGTCTCAATCATAGGGAGTTTTGTACAGGGTGCCTGCAACTTATTTTCCATCTTCAAGACCTTTTTCGTGGGGAGACATCTAAAATATATTAACAGTGCATGCTTTTACTTTGTAAATGTGGTGCCAAATCCCTGTTTGCCATTGTTTTTAATGTAGTGATGTTAACTGTAGTAGTAATCTGTAGTCAGTACATTCTTTTACCAAAACTTGCATTTGGGGACTTTTTTCCACTTTGGCATGTACAGATTTTAATCTGTTATACTTGGCAGCAGTATTAAAGTGGTGAGTAAAGAGTCCAGGATTGTTCCTGTTTGTAACCAGTCCTTTCTGGAAATACCGTCTTCTGTTTCTTATTGCCCCCACTCAGAGTGCTTAAGAATGGGTTCAAGTAGAAAGGTGTTCTGAAAGTCTAGGGAAGCCTTGGTGTAATAGGATTGAAGCTAGACCTGGGGCTGATGGTTTTATTTTTTTCTCTGTGTCCAAGTGACATTCAGTCAAAATCCATCTTCCAGATTTACATTTTGCCTATGTGAAGATCTATATTCACCTTAGCCGGTAGGTCTTTTGTGCAGTATGAAACAAACGTCATTAAATATTGAGTGAACCATTGGGAGAAAGTAAATGCAGAGAGTACACTTTGAGCATGTTGTATCAGTAGCTTGAGCAGTGCCTTTAGGGTCCAATCTTTTTGGATTGGGATTTTTTTATATGTATGATCCTCTACTTGTTAAGAAAAAAGATAAATGGTCATCAAAGTAAGCCACAGCAATCCAATGCCTTTGTTGATACTTTTTAAAGTTCTTATTCTTTTTGGAAAATCATTACTGTGTAGATGGTGTAACTGTATTATATCTAACTTTTTTTTTTTTTTTCCATTACTAGGGTTTAAACTTAGGGTCTCATGCTTGCTAGGCCACACTTATCATTGAGCCATGTATCAGTCAAAATTTTCTTTAGGGGTAGGAAAACTGGATTTGAAAGAATGAAAATTACAGCTTTGATCAGTGTTTGACTTAATGCCCACAATGTAATTAAGAGTTGATAGATACTACTCATTTTGAATACATTTTTTCTTATATTCTTTAATATAGCATCATCTGGAAATGACAGTTGGTGAAATACTATTTTTCATAATTTTTCTGTCCTCTGGGTTTAATGGGGTGATATTGGTAATGTAAAATAATAGATAAAATTAATTTTACTTTACAATGGGTTTCATTTGCATATGCTTATTCAATGTGTTTTGGGAGTTTTGTTTTGTCTTTGGATGGTTTTTTTAAGTTATTTTGTGCTGGTCCTGTGAGCTGAACTCAGGGCCTGGATCATTGTCCCTGAGCTTTTTTGCTAAAGGCTAGTGCTCTACCACTTGAGCCACAGCTCCACTTTTGCCTTTTTTGAAATAAGAGCCTCACAAGTTTTCCTGCCAGAGCTGGCTTTGGCCCTCAGTCCTCAGATCTCAGCCTCCTGAGTAGCTAAGATTACTGGGGTGAGCCTGTAATAATAATACAGCACCCAGCTCAATATGTTGTTTTTTTTTAAGCCATTCTATTTAATGAACAATAGTAGTTCCCACTTTTTCATGAAGATCACCCTTATCTAAATACACATATCTTTCAGATATAGGGATGCATGCAGTTTTAAGTTTAAAAAATGGTTGATGTCCTAATCACCTGAACCTGTTCAAGGAGATTGATTCTTAGCTGGCAAGCTGGAAATCTATTATTAAAAACTAGAAATTGAATCAGATCAGCTAGGCTTTCAAAGTCACTAATTTGAATTTTAAAATAAAAACCTTTTCTCATAGCAAAGCCAGAATGTGAGAATGAAACCTCAAACCTCTTGGTCTAGAGGAATAAAAAAGTGATAGTTGCAGTGTATTTTCTCTGGAGAATGCTGGAAATTGGTGATAGATAATGTTTTTTAATTTAGGTGGCTAGACCTTTGGACCATCTAAGTCAGCACTACTAAGAAAATTAAAGTTTAATGAACAAAGAACAGTAAATAGACACTTATCAGGAAAGATTGCAACAAATAGCTTTATTTTGTAGATATTTTTGTACATTTCCTCTTGATGCACTTGGGTGAAAAACCTGATGAAAACCTTGGGTGAATAGGAGGCATTCTCATTAATGGACAAATCTTCCCTAACTTCGTGAGTTCAGCCTTGTAATAGTTTACCTATTGGTGTGAAAATCCAAAAAGATCATTGTAGTTATTTATAGGTGATGTTGAAGTGATATTTTTCCTCTTGAAGTTTCAATTCTAAATCAGCAGATCAGTGTATCATTATTTTCACTATGGATGCTATTTTTCTCAATATTCTAGTCATAGAATAGGTAATCCAAACATTTTTTGGTAGCTTTTCTGGGTTGGATTATTTTAAATTCTCTTATTGCTCTACTTGTTATTTGTACATTTGAGATTATTTTTAGACGAAAGTAACTTGCTGGCTTTTCTAATTCATTCAGTAGCCCTATATTCTTATATCCTGCCTCCTGTTTTCTGCTTTGTAGCTGTAACTTAGTTAACTTCATATGTGTGTGTGTTTTGCTTACCATTTATGACACAGTTGCAGAATTTCCTGTTGCAGAACTCCTTGCTGTATTTCAGTTACATTAAGGTAAAGTTAGTCCCTAATTCCAATTAGAAACTTAGCTTTGATTTCCCCCCCCTTCCAGATATTGAAAAAAAAAAAACCAGCAGCCAAAAATAGTCTTCTAATCAAAACAAAATGAGCATCTAATATCCTTCAGTGTTACTCCTGTGGAATCATTCCATTTCATATGTATAGACTTTTTTTTTTTTTTTTTAATTCATTTTAGCTTGTCTGTACTGCCAGGTAATTGTTGTGTTCTTCTCAGCCAGAAATCTGACCTGACCGGCTCAGCTCTCTATATAACTTTATGACCATCATGTTCTGTTACATTGCTCTAACAAGAGCAAAGCAGGTTGTATCTAGAGGCTTGACACTGAAATTTGGTTTTACTGTTGATTATTAGGGAGTAAAAGGAAGGTTTTTCTGCATGCAAGGGAGTTAACTTCCAAGATGGTTATAATCTTTTTTTTTCCTTTAGCTATGAAATGCCTCTCCCACCCACTGACCCAATTTTGTCATGACCTTTCATGGATTATTTCTGCTGAGTACATCATACCACAGAACAAGTCAGGGCAGGACAGTATGGTGTGTTTTGTTTTTCTTTTTTTCAGGTACCAAGGTTTGAACTCAGGGTCTTGTATTTCCTTGCCCAGGTTTTACTCTGCCATTTGAATTACATCTTCAGTCTGACCTTTCTCTGGTTATTTCAGAAATGGAATGTCAAAGATTGTAGGCTAGTCTCAACCTGTGACCCTCAGATCTCAGCCTCCAGGATTATAGGCATGAACCACTAGTGCCCAGATATATATGGGGGGAGGGGGGGCAGGGGTTGTTTCTTTGTTTTTGTTTTTTATTTCTGACACTATGCCAGGCCTGAGCCTGTCATGACTCAGTCTTTTTAGAAATCCGAAGTAATAAGGAATGTGTATAACATCAGAAACCTAGAGTATGCAGTTGACTTAAACAGATTCTGAACTCCATTAAACTAAAATACTGAAGTCAGGTCCAGGGAATGTATATTTTAAAATAAATTGATCCAGTTATTTTGATGCAGCCACTCTGGACCAATTTTGAAGAAACTGAGTATAAATGAACATTAAATAACTACAGTATTGCACTGGTGGCTTACACCTATACTCTTAGCTGCTCAGGAGGCTGAAATCTCAGAATCATGGATAGGAGCCAGACAAATCTGAGAGACTTGTATCCGCTTACCAGCAAAAAGCCAGAAGCGGAGGCATAGTTGAAGTGGTAAAATGCTGGTTGTGAGTGAAAAAGCAAGCAAGGCACAAGGCCCAGAGTTCAAACCTAGTACTGGACAGAGGGGGGGAAAAATCAACAAATTAGTTACTTTTTGTTAAAAAAATATATATAAATAAATAAATAAATGACTTCTTATACAGGTCTTAAAGTGCCTTCTACTTTAAAAAAAAAAAAAAAGTACAAGAACTGTTTGGTCAAAAAGCATTCCTGTGTTTTAGATATAGACTGTCTAGTTTTTAATATAAAAATCAAGACAAGAAATTTGGGATATACAAACGTATAATTCATTTGTGGAATTTATGCAGTGAAAGTTGAAAGATAGGCACATTAAATTACTGATTTGAAAAAAGTTTTGTGATCAAGTTCCTATATGTGATCATCTTCATGTTCTAGTTGGTGAGTAAAGCAGAACTGCCTAGCTCTAACATATTGAGGGGTCAAATGGGAGTCTGCCCAGTGCTAGTGTTTTCTTTTCCCAAAATGTTGTGAGAATCACAAGGTAAAAATAATAAGACATTAGAAGTATTAATACATTGCTAGGTACCCTACTGTTTCAGTGTATTCAACCTCAGTATAAGGTCTTTGACAGCTGGAATATTAAATTCTGTATAACCTGGTTTATCTTCTGTCCTCTACCTACTCTTACCCCACCTCAGTGTTTTTTATATTATCCAGACATTTTAACTAAAAAGCTTATTTTATATGTAAGAGATTCCCAGTAGACATGACTCAAGAAATTGCCAGTTCTTTCAGTTTTTGTCCTTGGACATGCAGGAGGAAGGACTTGAGACCATTGAGAATCATATAGGGTTGAGAATGCTAGGTTCTGATTTTTTTCCCCCCTGCTTCCACTAGCCACAAAATTTTATACAAATCTCTTTCAGTTTGTAACCATGCATTAAGTACAGATGGAGTAGGCATTCCTTCTAGGAATAATAGTCTATGGTTCTGGTCAAATATTCTTGCTACGTGGTATCTACAGCAGTACAAACAAGGGTATTCTCATTGTAGCTGGCAGCTTTCTTGCAACCTCACCTTCCCTGTATTAATTTTGAGGACCTGAAATGAAGTTGATGTATAAATTGTTCTAAAGTTTATGAAGCAGGGTGAAAAGGTCTTTGCTTTTAACATTTCAGTAATTCTTTATTTCTATAAATACTGGTACTTTTTCATAGCCAGAAGGCAAGAAAGTTCCCTTCCACAGTCTCCAATAGGCTTGTCTTAACCTCACAGAAATGTCTCCACACTTTTACCAAGCAGGACCACCAGAGGCTCTGGCACACTTGCAGTCCATGGCCCAACACCGAAGTCCTGCTGGAATCTGTGCTCCGGGGGCTGTGCCGGGTAGAGAGGGCAGTGGGAGGTAAGAGCTCTTCACCCTTCACCACCTTCTCCACCCAGCATGGCCAGCACACTTTGGTCTACGGCATATCTCCAAGTAGAGAGTGGGGTTTGAATGCTGTTGTCTCACCTGGGGGAAGGAGGGGGTGATCTGGATATTTATAATCAAAGTAGGAACTGTTACAAGTAAATGTGTCTTTTATATTACTGTTAAGACAATTATTGTACTGTTTTATTCGTTCTTTTATCTGCAAAAGTATGAATACATTTATTTTTTTATTGTGGTAAAATATAACACAATTTAAAGTATATAGTCCAGTGGCATCAAGTACCTTCCCATTGTAGAACTATCATCACTGTCCATCTCCAGAACTTATTTTCATCTTGATTTCAAATTCCTGTTTCCCCTCTCCCCCTTCTCCAGCCCCTGGTAGCTATCATTCTACTTTCTGGTTAATGACTATTTAAGATACCTCATATAAAATGGAGTCAAACAGTATTTGCCCTTTTGTTCTGCCCATACTGTGTTATGTTAAAACAAAACTCTGCATTCACTTTATTGTGGTTATTGTCTAATCGCACTTTGTACAAAAGTATATTATGGGGGCTGGGAAGGTAGCTCAGTGGTAGAGCGCTTGCCTTGCATACATGAGACCCTGGGTTCGATTCCTCAGCACCACATAAGGAAAAAGAAAAAGCTAGAAGTGGTGCTGTGGCTCAAGTGGTAGAGCGCTAGCCTTGAGCTGAAGAGCTGGGAGACAGCGCCCAGGCCCAGAATTCAGGCCCCATGACCGGACCCCCCCCAAAAAAAACAACAACAACTAAAGTATATTGTGGTCTCTGCCCACTTAGGGATATGAACAGGAATTTATGCCTTCCACAAACAGACTTAAGTTATATAGGATTTTTGGCACTTCATTATAATTTCACATATTATTTGGAGACCTATTTATCTTTGTTTGCCTCTGATTTTGTTAAGTATCCATTATTTCAAGATGGCTGAAACAATAATTTGGGACTGAATTGCTTAGAATAGGAAACTGGCTTTGATGATGTAATCTATGGTGGGCAATTAGTAGGGTAATCCCAAGGGTCATGGATGGCCTTGGGTTCAGAAGAGCTGTTTTGGAGTTCCAGATCAACTATTTCCTAGCACTCTGATCTTGAAGAGAATATATTTCCCTGGGACTTACTCCATTTGCCCTCCATAAATTGCTAGGGATGAACCTGGAAATTTTTTACATTCTTCCGACTTCAGTATTTGAAGAATTAAGATTGCAAGCCGGAAGTGGTGCTGTGGCTCAAGTGGTAGTGTGCTAGCCTTGAGCTGAAGAGCTGAGGGACAGCGCCCAGGCCCAGAGTTCAGGCCCCACGACTGGACCCCCCCTCCCCAAAAAAAAAAAAAAGAATTAAGATTGCAGTGCAACAAAACAGTATTGCATGCCTGTTTCTGATCTTACTACCAAAATAATTCATGATGGCTTATCAAGATAAAATTCAATAGTATTGAATAAACTAAGTTTTAAATGAAGCAAAAGAAGGCAAAGTCAGAAGGCTATGTGGCATAGATTTGGTTTTAAGCTTTCTTATGGCCATTTTATATAATAAAGAACTTTTATACACAAAGTTTCCATGAGATAAAAATAAGCCATTTGTGTAGATGCACAAGTGTATTTTTCTCTAGCCCTAAAAAGTGTGAAGTTTGGGAACAATCTCTGGGCCTGGGAATTAAGTTGGGGTAAGTACTAATGGCTTTGTTGGAAGCTTGGGAAGAAGAGCATTAAGAAAGTTGTCTTATTTGGAGGAGATCCCTATCCAGGCCATGGGTTTCAGAAAATTGTTTTGACTTGGTTCTAAGATACAGGTGAGTGGCCCCAAGAAGTAGTATACTTAGACTTGCCAGAAGTGTTTTAACTTGAAAACATTCTAAGATAAATGTAACCAGATCTATCCTCAATAAAAAACAGCTGTGGAACATGTTGCTTTTAAGAGTTGCTATTTCCTCCCTCCTCTAAGACAAACATTTGTAAAGTGTTCTTCCAAGTTACCTCATGTGGATTTGTTTAGAAACCAGGAAGAAGTTGAGGTGTCTATTAGAAAAGAGAAGTCTAAATTAAACTGTTTACTGTTGAATTTTAATTATTCTGCCAGGAGACCTGTCTTCCATAGCAGATCTAGAAGGTAGGTTCTGTGTGAATGTTTGTAACCAAGGAGCATGGCCTACACTCTGTGGTTTGACCCATATGTATTTTCTGCTTAGATTCAAGGACCAAGAAGTTTTAGCTAATTAAAGACAAACTGGTACAAGATGTGGAGTTATCCTCTGGAATAAATAGAATAAATTAGGCTTTGCTGAAGGTTCTTAACCCAGGACTTAAGAGCTCTGAAACTACAGATAAACCAGCGTGCTAACCATGCTTTAAAAAATTCTCTGAACTTTACATTTTAATATATTCTAAGCTGGTACTGATGACATAGATTTTTTTGCAACTCTGAAAATGGAACAATGAAGCCTGTTTGGAATGTTTTGTATAGTGGAGGGGGCTAAAGAGGTTGATGGAGAGGGTAAGATTGACTGGAGTGCAGCTGAAGTGAAGCTGTAACAAGGAAGCCCACACACCCTATATGTATAACTGATAAAAGTATATATACTGTGAACTGGGCATGGTGGTAGATGTCTTTAAAAGAGTGACATCTATTAACAAGAAGGCTGAGGGAAGGTGATCTGCCCCTGAGTGGAAGACCAGTGGGCAACAAATGAGACCTTACCTCAAAAACAAAGACTTATTCAGATAGGGCCTTAGATGTGTGAAGTCTTGCCCAGGGTTTTTTTTTTTGGGGGGGGGGGGGGGCTTCTGGCTTTAAATCTTCAGTAGATTTAGCCAGAACAGTTCCTTTGGTAATCTTCCCAGGTTGGTGTTTACTTACTTATTTTCAGGTAACCCAAAATGATTCTAATCTCAATAGCTGCAAATTTATTCATTAATGTATTTCAAGCACATGCACTCTCTAGTATTAATATTGCTGGAAGCAGCCTAAGTATGAATGTGTGTTTGTGACAAGGTGCAGATTTTCATTTTGACATTTTGTCTTTTATATACTAAACCTTGGATGCCAAGAGCTTTCCTCACTAGTATTGTAGTGTAAATGCTAAATCTATACTTGACTTCACCACCTCCTGTCAAGATAAAGTTTCCTTTCCCTCAGAGGAGTTCAAAGGAATAATTGACTTCTTGGTCTGGGAAGATGTTATTTGCAGCCAGTTTGATGTGGACCCATCAACAAAAATTTCAGTGCCTAAAGGAAGCTCAGCAGTCTTTATTTCTCCCAAAAGGTAGCAATTGAAATAAGAATTTTAGATTGCTCACTTGTTCTGAATTTTTTGATACAGAAATGGCAACAATAAAATCCTAAGTGGGTGTGTGTTGATGTTCTCCCGAGTTTAGTCAGAAAGTATCTTATGTAGCAAAACAGTTATTTATAGAGATAAAGGAAACTCAGTGTGTTTGGCAGCCCAGAGTGATGATCATTTCTGGATGTGTGTGTCTTTAGAAACTAAAATCACCCACCCAGGGATCCAAATCTCTGAGCTGAGTCACAGACATCTATTTGTAAAAAGAGGAGTGGCAGGTTTATTGAGGGTTTGATTTTAATTGTTTATTTTGCATTATAGAGAAGGTTTGCCATTATGCTGGGGATAGTTTGTTGAGATTCTAAAAACCAGGTGTTGAGTTTCACAAATTGCAGCCTTTTCGTGTGTGACTAACTAGAAGAGCTTTTCTGAGCCTTCCCTGCATTTGTGTTTGTGCTCTGCAGAATAACCCTGTGAAGTAGTAGGTAGGGAAGTTATCTTCATTTTAGAGGCTCAGAGAAATGAAACATCCACCTTCTTGTATTAAGCAGAATCTTGGGATTCTGATCAGAGGAATGTTAGAAGAGACCACAGTCCTTGAGGTTTTCTTTGATGATAATATCTGTAACTGCATCAAACACAAATTTGACATTCTGTGTGTCAGTAGCACAGGTCATGTGGCTGTAGATTTCTTTGACATCTTTTCTCATATTGAGGTCAAGAAACTGGCTCTTGATATAATTCCCTGCATCCTCATAGGAGTTGTTCCCTGGTTTAAAAAAAAAAAATAGTGAAGAATGGTATAAATTAACCCTTCTTAGTTACTTTTTTTTCTTTTCTACTGTCCTAGAGTTTAGAATCTAAGCCCTCACCCATTTTTAGGCAACTTATTCCACATTGTGTTAGATAAACACAGTTGGGGCCTAATTTTGGAGGTAGTTATCTCTTGTACTCTAGTGCTTTTTATTGAGTGAAGCAAAACATTGAGGAGAGATCTCTGTATCTTCCTATTTGGTTTCTAGCAGGTATCCTTTTCAACAGTGAGTGGCTCCCCTCAGTCTGCTATCTCCTGTATTCTGGACACATCTGAATTTAAACCCTGTACCTGAATGCTCAAGTTTCTCCCTTAAGACAAGTTTCCTTTATGTCTCCTTGGCATGTGAGTCACTACTAAAAGGCATTGCTGTTATCTGCAGCAGTTGACACTTACCATCATACTCAGGAAAACAGATACTGAGATGGACTTTCTTGATCTTTTCCTCAAAGAGGTCCTTCTTGTTAAGAAAGAGGACAATAGAAGTAGCTGCAAAGAACTTGTGGTTACATATACTGTTGAACAGATGCAAAGACTCATGCATGCGATTCTAGAAAGAGGAAAGACCATTGGAAATAATCAGATTGGGTTTATGAGATACCTGTTTACTGTGTTCCACATGTGAAAGGAAAACAGGAAGTAGCTTCTGTCCTTTAATGTGGAGTACAGCCAAACAGATCTTGGGATCTTGGTTGCTTTTCATTTCCTTTCTTTCATTTTGGTAGCTGGGTGATTCGGGAAAAATTCTAGAGCAACTGTGAGTCTCTATAATCCTTATAGGATTATTATGAAAGTTAAATAAGATCATGTATATGTGATTTCCATGGTAGTGGTTAGTATCTAGGTATACAATAAAGATATACAGATCTTTGGCAACCAGGATACAAATAAGGACTCTAGCATTCATAAGTACTGCAGTTACAGGTTTGAAACCAGGCCCAAGTTACCACATGCCCACTTGTCTCTTAAGATATTTTGATAGATTTCTGTCATGATATCCAGATCTCAGTTGGAGCAGGAACATGACATGGATACTTCGGCCCTGGTGACACTAAAGGAATTTCTTATTGCCACACCACCAGCACTTCTCTCTTATTTTCTTTGTTGCTACATTCAGAGACTGAGAAAAGCATTAGATATAAGCAGTATGGAGGTGGCTGTATTCTAGTCCAGCTTACTTTTAGGGAATAGTTTTTTTGTTTTTTGTCCTGGGGCTTGAACTTGGCCTGGGCGCTGTCCCTTAGCTCTTCAGCTCAAGGCTAGCACTGTACCACTTCAGCCACAGTGCCACTTCCGGTTTTCTGTTGGTTGATTGAAGATAGGAGTCTTACGGATTTTCCTGCCCAGGCTGGCTTTGAACTGCAATACCCAGATCTCAGCCTCCTATGCTGCTAGGATTACAGGCATGAGCCACTGGTACCTGGCTTGGGGAACGGACCTATAGAGGCTTGGAATAGACCATAGAGTTAGAGCCTTTCTTCATTGTTAATACTTCTACACAGCCCTTTAAGACCTCAGGATTTTAAGGTGGAAAAGATCTTGGAAAGTGAATAAATAGTGCTGTAAGACAGTGAGCAAGTGCTCTAATGTGAACCTGATCTATTAGCGAGAAGGGACAATAACTAGAGGAAGAAAACTTTGTTTTACAATTAGTAGGCAGCTGGCCTCCATTTGCAGAACAGATGTTTATGTGAAATTAGTATCTTCATAGCTTGGATTTCCTTTCAGACTCAAAGTAACTAGCAGGGCATAGACACTTGTCCTGTAGTGTTCGTGTCTTATAGAACTTTACAGGTTAAAGGGAACCCAGCTGCCAATTTATTTTGCATGTGAGAAACCTGGTCTTCCAATCTCCTGTTGAAACTTAGTACATTTTTAGACTTCTAAATGAGGTTAGTATTTCAACCCCTCTTATTATGCTGCATAAAGATACACATCAGCTGGGCATGCTGGCACATATCTGTAATCCCAGCTACTCACAAGATGGAAGTAGACTTGAGATTCAAGGCTAGGCTAGGCAAAGATAGCAAGACTCAAAAACAAGATAGAGCCAGGCACCAATTGCTCACACCTTTAATCCTAGCTACTCAGAATGCTGAGATCTGAGGATCGTGGTTTAAGCCAGCCGGGGCAAAAAAAGTCTGAGACTCATCTCCAATTAACTTCCAAAAAGCTGGAGTTGGAGCTTTGGCTCCAAGTGTGATAGGGCAGTATCCTTGCCCACAAAAGCTTAGGGACTGCCTAGGTCCTGAATTCAAGCCCTAGGACTGGCAAGAAAAAGGGGGGCGGGGAGGGTCAGGGTGTTAAGGACATGGGTCAAGTAGATGTCTAGGATTCATGAGAGAAGCTTGGGTACAGCCCTAGTGCTTCAAAAGTGCTTCAAATACACAAATGTCCTGAGTTCAATCCCAGGACTGCCAGCAATAATAACAAAAAACATCAACTAGGTTGGTGACATAAACCTGTAATCACAGCTCATTGGAAGGTATTGTCAATGCTTTGGTCGGTCCCTAGTACCACACACACAAAAAAGGTACACACCAGACTCTTCATCTTTCTACCTTATTCATCTCCCATTATTTATAAGCAACATGGAAGAGTATACTAAAGCCTGTAGAGGAAGAGGTTTTTCTGGAGTTGTTTACATGAGCCATTGGTTGATCTGATAAAATGGCTGAGCTGACAGTACTAACTGATTCAACCTGGTGAGGGGCATTGAATTGAATGGCTTGTGGTTTAGAGAAAAGGGGAATGGGAGAGATTGTACCACTGAATCTGCTTGGTGCAAAGGCCACTTACCACTTCATCATCTTCTACCAGTACCATATCATAGGCACTGAGAGCTGCACAGAAAATGATGCAGGTGACTCCTTCAAAGCAGTGGATCCACTTCTTTCTCTCTGACCTCTGCCCTCCCACATCAAACATCCTGAAGGAGGAAGCAGTTGTTCTCTTACAGTATTCAACATGAGAGGTGGCCACAATGGGACCAGTGAGCAAAGCCAGAAGTGGGATGAGAGCAGAACTAGGATTGGGCTCAGCAATGAACATTGGGCCTCAGCAAAGAGCACGAAGCTTGCCCACACCCCTTTTTGAAACTGCACATGTGCATCTGAAGATGCCCCCAGGGAAACAGTACTTGCCTGAAATTCAAGTCTTTGACAGAAAATTTGGTTTCAATGATGCCTGTGGTTTTGACTCTGGATCGGAGTACATCTTGTTCACTGGGGAGGTAGTTGGGGTCTGTAATTCGGTCCAATTGGTTCAGATAACTAGAGGAAAGTGATTGGCCATTGTTGACTACATTTGCCAAAGCCAAGGCCAATGGAAGGAAAATATTTCTTACCCAAAGTCACAACTAATGTGATAGAACCAGGACTGGCATCTGAAGCATTAGATCTAGGATTCCTTTGAGCCCTCCTGGGCCTTACAAAAGTAAGTAGAAAGGGGGCACAGCCCATTTCAGTCATGTGTTCTGCTCAAGTCCGATAACTTTTCCTTGGGTTTTGCCTTAGAGGCTTTTCTAGACCCTTGAACAAGATTTACTGGTTTAAATAGGTACCAAAAATCTCATCAGGAGAGAGGAATAGATGTAAAGCGATTAAATAAAGCCAGCAGTAGAACTGTGGCTCAAGTGATAGAACTCCAGCCTTGAATAGAAAAAGCTAAAAGTCAGTACCAAGGCCCTGAGTTCAAGTCCCAGTACTAGCACTAGAACGAAAAAAAGGTTAAAAAGAAGGATAAAGGCAGATGCAAAGCAAAGTGACTCATGAATAGTGAAGAAAAGTGAACATCAGTATTTAATGTAAGCCATATTCATATTTAAATTCTCATTGAACTTCATAGAAGCCTTTAAAATTTATATCCCCATTTTAGAGATGAAGGAAAAATTCAAAGGAGTTAATAGGGTGAAAAGATATTATGTAGCTGCATGTGGTATGTGGGACTAAGTTCCATACTGGAGACTAAAGCAGAAGGATCATGAGTCCTAGGCCAGCCTAGGCTGCAAAGACAGTTAGATCCCTGTCTCAAAAGCATTATGGTATAGTATTAACAAAATATTTCCCTTTGTGGACATGAGTGAAAATCAGCCTCTTCTACTTGTGTATATGACCTTAGGCAAGCTAGTTACTGTGCTTCTGTTTTTTATCTTGAAGCTAGTCACTGGTAGCTTATGCCTGTAACCCTATCCAGGAAGCTGAGCTATGAGGATTGTGGTTCAAAGCCAGCCCAAGCAGGTAAATCCACAAGACTAATCTCCAACCAGCAAAAGCCAAAAGTGGAAGTATGGCTCAACTGGTAGCATGACAGCTTTAAGCAGAAAAAGCTTAAGCAGGAGGGAGACCCCCTGAATTCAAGTCCATGTACACACAAACCCTATCTTGAAGGCTTATTGTTCAGGGATAAGAGTCTTGACACCCTTATGTAATACACTTAACAGTGATGGCCCTGGTAAGGCAGCATTCCAGAGCTAGGCAATAACAGCATGATTTCAAAATTCGATGACAAATGGAAATTAAACACAAATCCATTTGACTCTCAAACTCATCTGATACTACCCCATTGCAGGTAGGATCGATAAACTGTCCCTTATCATTTTGGACCCAGCTTTGCAAAGTTGTCTCTTAATTCCTGACCTCCTTTCTTTGGTTTGTCCTGGCAATGTCTCAGGGTCTGTCTTAAGAGCACAGGGCTAAGGGTTGCTAGGTGGAGCACCTCTGTTTTGAATTTTGTGACTTCAGCTTTGTAGGCTGTGAAGGGCCAGCCTACAGTAATCCAGAATAGTGTGAACTGGCAGGTAGCCCTGTGGTCTTACATCCAGCCTTATGAATCTCCAGCTTTCAGTGCCTGCATTTGAAGGTTGGCTGGGTTTTCTCCTGGAGGATTGCTCAAGTGTCACCCTCCCTCCCATCCCAGTCTTACTAAGATGCAGAGTCATTGAGCTGATACTCTGCAGCTCTCTCAAAACAGGCTTGCACTCCACCATCTTTCCACAACTTCCGGATGACATCCACCAGCTCAGGGGGCATGGTCCCCTCCTCAGTGGAATCAGCCAGGTTGTTGAGCTGTCGACCATCATCCTGTAAAATGCAGAAACTTGGCTGAGAATGATACAGGAGTCAGGCTGTCCAGAAGGCATCTGTAAACAACCATGAATGGAAAGGGGTTTGCATTGCTACCAAAACCTACAGTGAAAAGTCCATCTAAGAAAACTTGCAGTGAACTCTTGAGTGTACACCCTAGATATGGAGAGTGGAAATATATCCAGCTTTGAGATGCCTAGAGGATAGCAAACAGAGCCCCAGGTGCTTCCTCTTTGGTATGTCATGCTTCAGATCTTACTCTGAAAGTGACTGCCACACAGCATGGGTCCTTTGCTTCAGGGAGACTAGAACTTTAAAACTAATATCCAAGAAATGGACAGCATGGAAAACGAGCCTATTACCTTTGTCCTTTCAGTAACTCAAATCTAAGGCTAATAATACTAGAGCCAGGGCTTTTGTTTATAAAAGTTTTCATGACCAAGGCGCAAAGCCCGGGGGGGAGCAATTTAAATGGTAAAGAGGAAAAAAATAAAAATGAGGAAACAGAGTTTTGTGAACATGTTATAAAAGCAGAGGTTATTTTCCTAGGACAGAGATTTGAATCTACATATGAGATTTTAGCTACACAGAACTTTTTCTTACTAACTTTCCCTATGATTTCTTGACCTCTGGTCTGTTTCTCACTAACCATCCCTGTTTCTACCCATAATCACGTAACATCAATCACGTACCGCCCGGCTTGGTTCAGCATAGTCAATGCCTAGCGTGGACATGGCTCGGATGATAGCGAGGATGGACTGCAACACATTTCCGTAGATGACTGACTTAAACTCCAGGCATTCTTCTGGCGAATAGCCATCCTGGTGAATGATCCTTCAATGGGCAGATACTCCACTTTCAGTTGGATTTAATAACCCGACCTAAGGGGTTGGGAATCTTGGGGATTTGAAGGGTCCTAAGAGTTCCATCTCTTCCGACTTTTTTCTTTTTGCTTATGTGGTGCTGAGGAATTGAACCCAGGGCCTCATGCATGCAAGGCAAGCGCTCTACCACTGAGCCACCTTCCCAGCCCAAGTTCCATCTCTTTATCCCTAATGCTGTCTCAAAGTGTAGGAGGAAGGAAATGTTAGGAGTCAGATTATTTATACCCAGTTCCCTACCTCCACCCCACTGGTGCCAGTACTTAGGGCTTGAACTCTGGGCCTAGACATCTTTTGTTCAAAGTGGTAGAGCACCAGCTCTATCACTTGAGCCACAGTTCCACTTGTGGCTTTTTGGTGCTTATTTGGAGATAAGAGCCTCCCAGATTTTCATGCCTTTTCATGGCTTTGAACCAAAAACCTTAGATTTCAGCTTTCTAAGTAGTAGGATTGCAGGTGTGAGCCACCAGCACCTAACTGCCTCAGTCTTGAGTCCCTCCCCTGGCCCACTGACAACTTCCCCCCACCTCTATCCTTTTGGGTCTTGTTTCTACTTACTTCATCTGTTTGACGATAGTGCTCTTCCCTGATTCCCCAGCACCTGAAAGGAGAAATGTTTACCCTTCAAATCTCCATTATTCTCCCTAACATTCTAGTAGATGGTCTGAGAAGTGTTATCTGGGAGCCTTGCTACAAGAAGAACACAAGAATGATTGCTGCCCCATGGTGCTCCTGGCACCATGAGCTCAGGCCATTTGACCAGGATTTAGAGCAGAGTTTCTTAGCTTTAGCACTACTTATATTGGAGGTTGGATTTTCTATGTTGTAGATGGCTGTCCTTTGCATTGTAGGAGAGTTGGAACCATTCCTGGCTTCCTCTTACTAGTATTCCACTCGAAGTTATAACAACCAAGTGTTTTCCAGATACTTCCAAATGGACCTTGGAAGTCAGTCATCCTATTAACAAGCATTGACAACCACTGATGTATTCATGGAAAATTCCTTTAACAATTTCCTAAGCATCCTTTTTTTTTTTAAACTTAAGATGAGTACTCTTGGGTAGGACTGGAGAGAGCCAGAATTGCTTCACTAGTAAGTTCTTTTTTTCGTCATCTTGATGGTTTCATTAATTGACCAAAATGCCCTCATTCACACTTTCCTTACCCCATCAAACCTCACATTCCTTTCAATCCTCTCTCTCCATCTACACCAACTGTCCCATCCTTAATGCCCTCCCACTGGGTCTGTGCTTGTTCCTCTAAGCTGCTTATCCTGAACCTAAAAGAAACCTGTTTAGGCTTAAACAAATTTCTTTCAGTGGGCTTGCCATCTCTTAGATCTTCCTATATGGCTCCTGAGCTCTTTGGCATCTGGGTCTATCTTACAGAGAGATGCTCCTGTACTTTGTCCTTGGGCTGTGGCCCAGGTACACTGGGAGAAAGTGAGGCACCTTAGCCTTGATGCTTCAATCCCCAAAGAGGCAAAAGCCCAGTCTATCATGTAAGTCCCTGCTGCACCTAGCTTATTTCTGAAATACTAATGATGTGAAATTTTCTTGTCTTCTATTTATAGCCATGATTAATTGAATGACTCACTGTGATACCTTTTATTTTCTCAGCATAAACAGCATCAAGTTAATGACCCTCCCACTTAACAAAGGGCTTTAACAACTTCTTAATATTAGGAAAGGACTTTGGTGGATAGAAAGATTCCATGGCTGCTCCAATCAGGTCTCCCTACTTCCAAAGAGGAAATCAGCATATTTGGCAAGTATCAGTGGACCTATCCTTGAGGCAGTGTGGTGGAAATGTGTAGTGGAACTTCAGAATCCATTCATGAAGGGAGGTTCTGTTCTCTTCTGGTTCTATGACCCAGAGTTCTTGGTATTTGCCAAGCTAACAGGAAGTGTTACAATTGGAGATAGATGGGACCACCCTGGCATTTATATGATTTCTAATTCAAAAACAGTACGAAATGCAGTAACATTGGCATTCTGAGTTCCCTTAAGGTGGATGTACTGTCTCCATATTAACTTAATCCTGGTGCTCCTGCCTAACACCGATTGGAAAGAAGAAAACTGGCCTGCCCCTCAATCTCAACGGGATGTGATAGAATCTCCCCACCTCCCACAAAGCAGGAAGAAGCACTACCTTCCCCTTTTCTGGCTTCACATCTCACCCAGTAATAGCAGCTTGATGGTCTTGGCTTCCTTGTCAGCATCCTCCTGCAGCTTCTTTTCCAGCTCCTTGGACCTCTTTGCCAGTTCTCTGTCTTCAGCACTGATTCCACTTCCCATCTCTGCAGTCCCTTCCTCAGCCTCTTCCTCGGGCTCTTAACAGTTTCTTTGAAGTTCGTGTAAGTGAGTGGAAAAAAAAAAATTGGGATCCAGTATTCTTTCCTCACTCCCCTAAAAGCTGGAAGAGACAATAGGCTACGCACGGGTTGTTGTATTCTGCCTACCTTTGCAGACTCCCTACACCAACTAGAAACTATTAGGGATTTTCGACTTTGTCTAGCAATGTGATGGGTTAAGCCACTTAAAAGCTTAGCCCATAAGACAAAAGGCAAAGACTCAAATGTCCTGTAGGGAGGGAAGTGATTAGGATTCTGACACAAAAAGGTAGGATATGGGTCCTGAAGCTCTGAGATGCAACAAGCCCTCTCTATCCTCTTGAAAGGCCTATCCTAAAAGTCTCTTCCTTCCTAGAGTTCCCTTGCATCACAGAGCTGGAGGTTAGGGGCACGGAGCTAGTTAGCATTCCCCATGTTGAAATTCCAAATTACAGGGTTTTGGTCTCAAAAGGATTCAAGGCATCAAAAAGGCTGATCCCAGCAAACTTTTTTTTTTTTTAAATTCGGTTGTGGGGCTTGAACTTTGGGCTTGGGCTCTGTCCCTGTGCTCTTCAGCTCAAGGCGAGCACTCTACTGCTTGAGCCACAGCACCACTTCCAGTTTTCTGGTGGTTTATTGGAGATAAAAGTCTCAGACTTGGGCTGGGAAGGTGGCTCAGTGGTAGAGCGCTTGCCTTGCATGCTTGAGGCCCTGGGTTTGATTCCTCAACACCACATAAGCAGGAAAAAAAAAAGCCAGAAGTGGCGTTGTGGCTCAAGTGGTAGAGTGCTAGCCTTGAGCTGAAGAGCTGAGGGACAGCGCCCAGGCCCAAAGTTCAGGCCCCACGACCGGACCCAAAAAAAAAAAAAAGTCTCAGACTTTCCTGCGAGGGCTGGCTTTGAACCGCTATCCTCAGATCTCAGCCTCCTGAGTAGCTAGGATTACAGGCGTGAGCCACTGGCGCCCAGCTGGCAAACATTTTGTTTGAGGTGATACCCTTACTTGGGAAGATTAGAAACATTTCCCCTGGCTCTCTCACTAGCTACTGCTCCAAGAAGCTATAAGAATTTTCCTTCATGTTGCTATTTCTTTGGGTTTGTACTATTTGTTTGCAGTATTGGGTATGGGTATGGAACTTTCTAGGCAGGTACTCTACCACTTTCTAGCCCTTCTTCATATATATATTTCTGTCCTTAGCATTTAACACTTCACAATGGACTTTGTTATACTGATCTCTTTCCTACTGTGAATTTCTCCTCTTGGTGATCAGGAAACAAATCAGATTCATCTTTATGTCCCCTCAGAACTTGTAGTTTATTAGTGGATTATCATTAAAGGTTTGGTGGTGTTAGAAATAGCTTGGGATTGGGGTTGGGAAGGTGGCTCAGTAGTAGAGTGCTTGCCTTGCATGCATGAGGGCCTGGGTTCCATTCCTCAGCACCACATAAGCAGAAAAAGTCAGAAGTGGCGCTGTGGCTCAAGTGGTAGAGTGCTAGCTTTGAGCTGAAATGCTGGGGGACAGCAGCCAGGCCCAGAGTTCAGGCCCCACGACCAACATAAACAAAAAAATAGCTTGGAATGTTGGGGTGTCATATAGGAATAAGAACACCAACAAGAAAGGAACTCACCAAGGCAGTTTGCTTCTGCAGATGGGCCAAAAATGTGGCACACAAAGCAGACAGGTTACTCCCTTTTTATCCCTCACCCAGAAGACCCTGCCCCTCTGCTCACATTGGCTGACCTCAGGTTCACAATCTGCAATAGGTAGGATGTAATTAAAATCGAGGAACTTCTAGTAGGATGTCTTAGTGCTCAGGAAAAGGATGAATGTATATAAAATGTAGTTAACAAGGGTCAAGCCACCTGGTCAAAGCTGGAACCCTTCAGAAAAGCAATTCTCACAGAAAAGAAACTTTTTCTCACAGTGAGCTATGGGCAGAGGTGGCTCACATTTATAGTCCTAGCTACTGAGGAGGCTGAGATTTGAAGCCAGCCTGGAGAAGAAAGTCCTGTGAGACTCTTATCTCCAATCATCCACCCAAAGAAGCTGAAAATGGAACTATGGCTCAAGTGATAGAGTGCTAGCCTTGAGTACAAAAGCTCAGGGACAGTGTCCAGGCCCTAAGTTCAAGCCCCAGAAACAGCATTAAACAAACAAATAAATATTTGAAGAATAAGAAAAGTGTGCATAGTAAAGAGGTGGGTGGGTGGGGCTGCTTTCCCTTAACCCACTAGAGAGACCTGAGGCTGAGCTTCACTTGGCAAGAGAATTTTGCTGGTATTCAGAGTGCAATTAATGCCACCGGTACGGAACAAACTGCTTCCCTGGGCAACCAGAGTCTGAGTTGGGGTCAGCTCTCCCTCTACCTCATACCTGCTTCCCCTCCTTGGGAGCAAAAAGGTACAATCTGGCAGTTATCCGTAGGCACTGAGCAGTCTACTAGTCAGAAGACATCTCATGCCTGTTGTTTTCACTGAAATGAGTTTTTCCAGTAGAACCTTCTCAGTTGGAGATCCTTTAGAACGTTTCCTCCTGAGGACCATCTGGTAAGTTTGTTTCTACCTCATGAAGTCTTATATGCCATCAACTATAAGTTTACTTAGCTTTCAAAGATGCCTATATATATATATATGTATGTATATATAGATAGATATCCATGAGCTGTATAAACTTTTTTTGTGGATCCTGGGCTTGAACTCAGGCCTAGGTGCTGTCCCTGAGCTCTTTTTGCCCAAAGCTAGCATTCTCCCACTTGAGCCATAGTGCCACTTCCAGATTTTTTTGTTTATGTGGTACTGAGGAATCGAACCCAGGGCTTCATACATGCTAGGCAAGCATTCTATCACTAAGCCACATTCCCAACCCTTACATATATGTATGTTTTAAAACCAATAAATTTTAGTAATAATGTTCATCTCAGAGTCTGAGACACTATTTTAAGGTAATCATCTGGAAAATTTGAAAACTCTAGCCTAGAATAAATCCTCAAATTTTGTGTATCAGAGAGCTTTTTTTTTTTTTTAAGTACTGAATGAATTGATCTGTTCTACTGTCCAGGAATAAGGATTTAAAATTTCCTTGGGGGCTGGGAAGGTGGCTCAGTGGTAGAGCGCTTGCCTTGCATGCATGAGGCCCTGGGTTCGATTTCTCAGCACCACATAAGCAAAAAGAAAAAAGCCGGAAGTGGCGCTGTGGCTCAAGTGGTAGAGTGCTAGCCTTGAGCTGAAGAGCTGAGGGACAGCGCCCAGGCCCAGAGTTCAGGCCCCACGACCAGACCAAAAACAAACAAACAAAAAAAAATTTCCTTGGGTGACCTAGAAACCAGTGGCTCATGCCTGTAAAACTAGCTACTCAGGAGGCTACTCATGATCTAAGGATCATGGTTCAAAACCAAACCCAGGCCGAAAAATCCATGAGACTTTTTATGTCTAATTCATCAATTAACCTGCAAAAAGCTGCAAGTGGAGGTGTGGCTAAAGTGGTAGAGTACCAATACCATGTGAAAAAAAAGAGAAATTTAAGCCTCAGAACTGGCACAGAAAATAAAATTTCGTCCAGCAAGTTGGATAGCCCTTAAGCTAAAGGACTTGTTCTTCCTATTAGAGCTGGAATTGTGTAGCAGCCACCAGTGGCATGACAAAGCAGGAGGCAGAACCTGGGTCTCCCATCTATCAGACACCTCACCCTCTCTCCCCACCTTCCAGCTAGCAATCTGAGAAGCTGGACTGGTAGAGGATGAGGCATCTCAGAGGTGTTTTCTGGGGCAGTCCTGTTTTCCTAATCGAAACTTGGCAAGTGCTTATTGACTTAAGGGAAAATAGGAAAGTCCCTTTTTCCCTTTGCACAAGAAATTGGCTGTCTTGGCATCTTGGCTCTAAGGTTCCAGTAACAGTATCACACCACCAGTCCTGTTTTGTCCTACAGAATGCTGGTAATTGGTACCTAACTATCAGGAACTGTGCTCAACTATCAGGAACTGTGAAAGACCATGCATGTGGCTCACAGCCTTTAATTCTGAGGCATGCTGAAGGCCCACATAGCTTAGTAATAGATAAATTAATGCTCTTTTCCACTAACACCCTCCCCCCCCCCCCACACACCAATCCTACTCTCCAAACTGCCAGTAAGAGAATTCTTGGGTGAATGCTGAAACCCAGGAATGGCAATCTTGTGTTGTAAAAGAAATCTCCAACTTGTTTCTTGGGCAAAATACTTGCACATAATCCTTTCTCAGCCCCCACAGCTACAGACTTCAATGCTGTTCTGCTTTGCTTGCTGGGTGGGAAAGGTCCCCATTCTGGCTCACTCCTGTAATACTAGCTACTCAGAAGGCCAAGATCTGAAGATCACAGTTCTAAGCCAGCCCAGGCAGGATAGTCTTATCAGATTCTAATCTCCAATTAACCAATAAATGAATAACTGAGAAGCCAGAAGCAGAGGTCTGGCTCAAGTGGTAGAGTGCCAACCTTGATCAGAATAATCTAAGGGGCAGTACCTAGGCTCTGAGTTCAAGCCCCAGTACCTGCATGCCCATACACATACACAACAAACACAAAAAGAGGATCTAGCCTCCATTCCTGGTAAAGAAAAAATAGGCTTGTGCATTTGGGGAGAGGAAGCAGCATGAAAATGGCCTCGCGGCACACACATCCTCAAATTAGGCAGTTTGAAGTGACTGGGGAGTGAAAGGTGAATTGAAGGGAGAGCTGGGAGACGAGGACTGGGAAGGATTATTGGGACCAACTAGTTGAAGAGCTTTGACTGACAGGTTAAGGGGTTTAGTAAAATCCACTAGGGGCCTAACAAAGACAGATACAGCTGCATGGTACTATAAACAGTGCTGGGTGACTGAGATGAGGGGTAGGAGGAGTTGGCTGCTGGAACAGCTTGGATCTGGGCATAAGGTGGTGCTTGGGAAAGTGCCCTGGCCAAGGTGGGTTTTTTTCCCAGACCTGCAGGTATTCTTTCCCGGTGTTCTGGCCTAGGGAAGCAAACATTACCAGTGCGTTAAAAGCCAG